GAGCGCCGCTGGCTGGGGTTTCATCACGCGGGGACTCTCACGGTGTTGGTGTGTGGAGCAGGGTCCTCTTCCACCAAGCCTTCTGCCCGCTCCTCTGCAGCAACGCATTGCCTCTGCAGCAGTGCTGACATAGTTGCTTGTACAAGCGTGCTATAAAACAGATGAGCAAGTTAATTTGGGGTTTGAAAATGTATATTAGGAAAAACCCAAACAAAGAACCAGGTACAGCCCTCTGGTCCTGATGGGCAGCATAGAACCGTGATGTGATTCAGAGTCGTGTTGGCATAACCACGGGGGCAGCAAACAGGAGTGGCTGGAAGGGAAAGGGAGACCAGGAGATCCTTAAGCTAGAGCTGATGCCAAAGCCTTTGTGTTGTCAGGCTAAGGCCTTGGTGACTAATTTTGGTATTTAACTTCAAGCAAACAGTGGAGCTGAGAATAAATTCCTTAAGCTGTGGCTCAGCCTGCTGACCTGCTGTGTCACTTTGTTTTACTCTTGTAGAGTGGTCCTTGTTAGAGAAGTATCTGTCAGTCCGTGTTGGCTGGGCGTAACTGATGTCTGTGAATATGTGTTGCATTCAGACCTAACATAGGTATTTGGTGTCTCAGCATATTTCAGTAGCAGGTGGGAGCTATTCCTGTTCCATTTGTCTTTTTTTTCCTGTTTACTGAAGGATTGACATAGATGAGGTAATTTACGCAGAAGTTATTATTCCTCCAGGGTGATTACTTCACATCTTTTTGTGTCAGTTTTCAACTTTGAATGGTGCGGTTGTGCTTCGTAGTTGTTTTAATAACTCTCACATATTGTTATCTTGTGACCTTTAGACTTTCATGCTGCATTTGATAGGTATTTTGCAGGATGGCTAATCTTGAAGTTGTACATAAACTTCTATTGAAACTACTGCCAACAATTAAGGTTCACGTTTTGTGAATTAAAAGTTTTGCTTTTAAGATTTTGAGACCCCTTTGTTTTAGCTGGGTTTTGTCATAGGCGTTAGGTAACACAGAGGATTGACATTGCTTTTCTTTTAAACTTCAGAATATACGCTAAATGCTGAGACTGTGGCAGGAGCAGATGAAGTATTCGGAATAAAATTCTTTCTGCAAGATTCTTAAGCACTCTCCTTAGCAGCTTCCTTTGCTAGGTTCAGATGTCTTCAGATGTCAGAGAAGTTACATTATTAGCAAAAGGGGATACAAAAACTTCCAGGAAGACAGAGAAGATAATGTTTGAAATGACACAAAGTGGTGTTGCATCGTCATTTGGACAGGAACCCACTTCTTTCAGCAGGTTGTTTTTAAGATGCAGCCTTGGCTTTGCCCTCCTGAGCGAAGCAGCAGGCTGCTTCTAACTTTCAGCATACTGGCATTCACTTATTCTGCGTAACCTAATTTCTGGCTTGAATAATATTTTCATCAAGAATGTAGTTTGCACCAGCTGGGCTCTATGGCGATTGTGGATTAAACCATCAAAAAGCAGCCTTCTTTCACAGTTGCCCAATGTAGGATTGGCTTTTATTTGTATTGATGAAGATACTTCAGCAAGTGGGTTACCCCTTCAGTTCTTAGAATAGCTTTCATAGGACAAATGTGTCTACCAGCAGTGCTGTGTGTGCACTTCAGTTCTACAGACGTGTTCAGAACAAGGTTATAATTGTCCAGGAGTGTTTAAAAGGCTTAAAGGCTACATTGCTGAGATTCTTTAACTCCATCTTCTAACTGATTTCTTCAGATACAGTGTGAGAAGCTGAGGTTTTCAGCCCTGTATGTTTAGAGTCGGACTTGAGAAGGGGAGTGGAGGTGGGTGCAGGAGTTGTTGGGTAGCAACAGGTTGTCAGAGAAGGTAGGGTCATGCCTCCTCTCACAGCAGCAAAGAGCTTGCTATGCTTGAGGTTCGTGCCTCTGCCTCGTCCCCTGCTACAAACTGTAGTTGTTCAGAGCTATACACAAGACCCCTGTTGCATTTTTTTCAGTAGTACTGCGTAACACTTTATGAAGGAGAACTTCTATTTAATAGAATGATTTAATTTTGTGCTTTCATTTACTGCAACTGAGTTAAAATCTTGCTTTTTTTTATTTTGATGCTCACAGGAAGAAGTAGTTCCTGTTAAAAGCTTTTCAGTTTGTATCATGCTTCTATCCAATAGATATTTGCCCAGCTATTTTAAATGCAGTATACCGGAGGGTAACTGGGCCATGGTTTGTGCACATAAGCTCAGATGTGCGTTGCGAACTTGGCCAGATTGTACATATAAAAGATTCTTATTTCACTCAGTGAATGATAACGTGTCGATCCAAACTGCATCCAAGTTGCATGCTTCAGAGGAGGAGCAGCTGTGAAGTTTATAGGTGACAAATGACTTAAGGCCTTCTGATAAGATAACAGCATTGCTTCTTTATTCAGGATTTTCTTTTGGCAAAATATTCTATACCTTTTGTTTTACACATATTCTAGGAAAATGCATTAATCATCCAGAATCCTCCTTTTTTCCCTTACTTAAGGGCCATCAAATAATTGATATATGCCTTTATAAATAAGGAACTGATTGCTCTAGATTAGCAGGGTTTTTCTTATTTTTTTTTCTTCTGGTCAGACTACATCTATGATGAAAAGTTCCTTGAAAGGTTTAAAGACCAACAGGCGTAGTTAAGAGAAGGAGGGTAGTAATAAGAGTGAAGAAACCTTGCTCAAGAAGAGTAGACAACTTGTCCGTTTGCCTCCATTGTTAGCTGAGCAAACATGCGAATGGAGCATGGTCTCTCATTCAAGTGTGTGAAATACTTCCCTGCCTGCGTTTTGGGTCTCAACTATGCTAATTAGTTTACATTAATGTCTTAAGTTTTGTGTTAAAAGCTCAAGTATGAAGGCCTAATGTATTTATGGTTATTCAAGTATAGAAAATATATTAAAACATAAAACCAGCTAAAAAGGTATTAAAATATAAAACCAGCTGAATGTTCCTCCTATTGCAAACGATTGACCTAAACGATCCCAGAGAACTCATGGAAAGCAGAAGTGGACACCATCATGTTCAATCATATAGCTTTGCTGTACATGAGGGCTGGAAACCTCTTGGATATAGGCTCCAGCTGGCCAAGGGCAGAGGTTTTCACTGTCTGCTAGACTGCTAAAGTTTGGAAGCAAACCTTAAGGCATCCTCAGCAAGGGCATACGTGGCCTCTGCTTTTATAATTGTAAGGAACAGAAGAAATTCTGCCCTAAATGAAAGGCTCTTAGATCTTGAAGTTGAAGAATGTAAACCTTTAAAATGTTCTCTGTCAAGTGTGGGAAGCATAATGCTGATATACACCACTACAAGAATAATTTTCCATCCTCTGCTTGGGAAACCAACCTGTCTCTAGTCAGCACGTTAGGTCACAGCCATGGTGCGTCCTGCAGCATGAGCATTGGAAAAGAAATCCACATGCTGACAAAGAGGAAGAGGAAAATTTTTTCGAAAATAGTCTCCAGCGAAAAAAGAAGAAGAATATGTTTTCTAAGGGGTTAAAAAAAAAAAGTCAATATTTCACATTATAGAAGAATGGTTCCTCCTTATCTGTGAGGAGGAGATCTCTGACTACAAAGCCAGTGGTGCCTCTGGCATGTGATGTTAAGGAAACTGCAGGTGGGGATTGTGCAGGTTGGGTCCATGTCAGAACTTTGTGTTTGTGCAGCCTGATTTCTTTACGATGTGGGGGACAGGCGTGGCAATTACAGACACACCGAGTGGGAGCGGGCGCTTTCAAACTAGGAAGAACGAGAAGGAGGGACCGTGTGTGTTCCTGACAGTTGTCATGTTGATTCAAATATTGTATTTCAGTGAAGAGTGCCACCTATGCTGACCAGGCACTGTCATTTTGCAACCTCGTAACTGCCCCCTGAATGGTTTATTTTACCTTTTCCATGCAACCTTTGACTAAGTTGTTCCTAGATGGCCAGAAACAGGGTAAGTGACCCGGTAACATTGTTGGTCTGACTGATTATGAGTCTCTGCATAGGTCCTTTTGCTGCTGTATGTCGATTCATGGCATTTTTTTTCTTTGAACCCCTTCACTGTGCTGTGTGTGAAGCTTGCTGCTGGGCCACCCCAAACCAACAGCACCTGGGGCAGGTGAAAAGACATTTCAGCGTATTTTTGTCCTCCCATAACTGCTGGCACTGTGTGGGGGGGTGTTGTGCAGCTGCTGGCTGCAGTCCAGCTGTGGATATCTGCACCTGAGGACTGAGTCTGTGGTACCCCACGTCTGGGAGGCTCCCATCCAAAACTTTTCTTCTGCTTGTTCTTAAAATGATCAGGAGGAGACCCGGACCACTGTGAGCGTGCGTTGGTGCACTTCTGAGATGTGCTACAAGTTATATATATATATATGTATAAAGTTTACTAATGTTAATGATTGCATATTTATTTAATATTTTTTGAAGACCATGTATCTTACATAAAAGCAAACCAAACCCCTCCTTCCAGCCCTAAAACATTTCTCTCCAGATGTCCCAGTTTCAATTGCTCATTTTTTTTTCTGGAAAATTATCTCAAAGCATTATCTGTGTCTGAGGAAAATATATTTTAGAAAACATAATACAATTGGGGAAAAAGTAACAATGGATCTGCTTTCATATGGAGCTGAAGATCTTCCTGGCTAATAGAGACTGTATTTGCCAAAGTCATTAAATTGTTTTCCCATTTTTATGTTGTTGGAAACTAAAAACCTTATCTAATTAAAAAAACTTAGAGCCTTCCTGGGTACCTCTCAAATTGGAAACTGTAGTAGATCAGCTAGTTTCTTGCTTTATATGTAACAATTGAAATAGTACGGTTATGCCTATGAGTTCAAAGCTAATTGCTTTTTATATGTTTTGGTATGGTCATAGTTGCATATGTTATATTGACCACTAATTGGGCTTGAAACCTTTTAAATCTTGAAAAGTAAGTAAATTTTAAGTCGGATGTTTTAAAACTTTTTGTTTTGTTTTTCTTACTCCCTGCCCTCCTTCAGACCAGAGGAGACCAACAGAAGAGTGAAAAACGTAAGATGCACTTACTTCAATGCTTTCTGAAAAAATTTCACACTAATTCTGATTAAATGTTTCTAAACCACTTCTGTTTATGGCACTGTCATGTTTACCTTATTCTTCAGCTGTTCATTTATCTAATGCAAATTAGTGCCATCTTACGGTGATCTCTATGCAGGTTACTTTCCCAAATAAATACAATAATTAGAAACAGTACTTATATCTGCTTACTTGAGATATATGAGATGCATTGTGACACTCTTTAATTGGTTTTGGTGGAGATCATAGCTAATAATGTAAACAAGATTTTACAGTTTATTGTGGAAGATATCTCTAATAGCATGCTGAGATTCTTTTATACTGGTACATAGTATGAGAAGAAAGTAATCAAGTTTGTATTTGGGTTTTTTTGTTTGTTTGTTTTTAGGTTTTGATTACATTATACTGGCTTGGGAGAAAAGCTCAAAGTAACCCTCATTTTAATGGTCCGTACCTCAATCTTAAAGCATTTGAGAAGTTATTAGGGCAGGCATTGACTAAGGTAAGGAGTCCAAAAAGAATAGTAAACAAATAGCCTGAATTTAATAGTTTGCTATACATTACAGCATCAACTCTGAGCAATCTTTTTGGGGTTTAATTTTATTCTTAGTTTGGAGAATGTAGTCACTAGTTTTGTTTGTTTTGCTTGCTGTCAAGGTCCATGTGAAAGGAATGATTTTTAGCTTACACTAGTTTTTCAGCTACCCAGATAACCACGAAATTCAGAATCCACATGCTCTTATTGATGTGGTAGATTTTGGAAAGGCTCGTCTTGATTCCCTTTAGATAAGATAAGAGAAATAGAAGACTTTGTGTTGAATCTCCTGTCCCAGCTTTTGTATGTATTGTTTCTAGGCGTTTGCAGTAGTCTTTGGCAAAGCCAATTTGCACGCTCAAAATGCATTTTAAAAATTTTTGAGCAAAGCCTCGCGAGTAGCACTTGCACCTTAAATTGTTGAAAAAGACTTTTCAAAACTTACTGTCACAGGTGCTTGAAGAGTCCAGTCACCTGAACAGAAGTGGCAGGGATAGTGGGTACGGTGATATTTGGTACGCTGACCGGGGAGAGTCCTTTTCATCTTCAGCTAGCCATAAAAGAGACGATTCCTTTGATAGCTTGGACTCACTTGGTTCAAGATCCTCCACAAGCTTTTCTTCAGATATAACCTTGAAGGGTGGCAGTGAAGGTATGTTTTTTCCTCTTCTAAATCTTTTGTTGACATATGTCTTATGAGTGTGAGAGAAAACAATGTATGGACCTAGTACTTTGGGTGCCCGGTACTTGAATTGGCTTGGAAGGCGGCTCTAGTTTTGCAACTGCTGCAGTTGCATTTGCCTAAGCAAATATTGACCTTTAACAGTTGGTAGAAACAAAGCAATGCTCACCTAAATCTTCCTAGGAAGGGCTGCTGGGACTCTTGCTCCCACAGGCACATTAGAGGGTGTGTATTTTGTGGAGTATTTTCCCATAGTTCAGGGAGGGAAGTTACTAAAATTCAAATCGTGATGGGATCACCCAAAATTCAGCAGTTGCAAAAGTCTCATGCCCTTTTCCTGGTGTGGATATGTCAAACCTCTACGTCTTCATTCCATTTGTGAATATTCAATAGGGATTTTCCTGCCTAGGTTGAAAACTGAATAGTAGTTGTTATTTTTGATAGTTTGTCATGCAAAGAAAGGTAACAAAAAGAAAGCTTGTGAAATTGGATCTGTACAGCTGTACTCTAACCTGTGTTTCTCTCCCAGTTTTAAAATGCAATACTAACTTGCAGTCAAAGTTATAAAAATAGTGAGCTTTTGGATTTTGTACTATGTGAATAACAAAATCATTGAGTCAAAGCCGCATGGAACATTTCTGATCTGAGCAAAGCAATATGTAGTCATGCTATATATGTGACATACCCTCGGCTTCTACTGGGCGTTAATCTGGTGAGATGAGCATTTTTCTATACTGTTTGCTGGTAACTTGGCTTTGTTATTAAATTTCTGTGGCAAGTGTGTTTTCAATTAAAACCTTCTGTGCTGTTGTAAGTCTTCAATCTAGAGACTAGTGCTTTATTTCCTGCAGAGAGCAGTGGTAGCAAAAGAATGGAACAAATCCAGCAGGGGCATGCAAACCAAACTCAGCTTCATTGTGAAGTTGTGAAAAGTTCCATTAACTTCTAAGACCTCTACTACTGTCATGTCAATAGCTCACCAAGTTTGCAGCCAAAATATCTTGAATATGGAGTTAAATTGTTTGTAGAAGATTTTGGTGCAAGTTCTAGCTAGAAGCTTGTGTCTAGAGAATAATGTTTGTGCCTTCCCTTTTCTCCCCTTTCTTCTAAGGTTGCGACAGTGACACAGACTCAGAACTGCCTTTCAAAATGCATGACTCCCATAAAGACGATAGGTCTTACCGTAGGATTTCTGTAATTGAACCGAAACCTACCGCTGACTTCAATCGCTTCTTACCCCACAAAAACAAGCAGACAGCGTATGTGCCAACACCCTTAAGGAAGAAGAGGATAGAAAAGAATGAGGACAACAGGAGGAGTTGGGCAAATCCCGTCTCCACCGAGTCAGACGGAACATTTTCAAGGTACTGGTGTGCGGTCTTAGTAAAGAGGACTTTTATTTAGGACTGATTTAAAAAGGGTTTTCTTTATTAGTTAAAGAAAAGCTGCTGTTGCTGCAATACAAAGTAAAGTATTTGAATTTCGTTATGTTAAGGAGAGGGGGGATGTTTTGGTGTGGTTGTGCGGTTGGTTTTGGTTTGGGTTTTTTTGTTTGTTTGTTTGTTTTTAACTTTGTTCCATATAACAAATTTTCTGGTGTTTGCGTAATGTTTTGAGGCTGGTCAGACTCCAGATAGAGGGGATTTAAATTATTTTGAATGCAAGTTCAAGAGAGCTAGACCTACAGTTTTAATTTCTCATTAAAGCTTTCGAAAACACGGTGATGAATTTCTGTTGTCCAGCTTCTCGGTGCGTGCACATGAGATTTGTAGGAAGTTCTTGGGTTTCATCATTACCTTCATGACTTCACTGTCTTCATTCTGTTCCTGTTTTGGTCAACCTTAGTGAACGTGAAAGGAATCCCGTAGCTTCCTGCCAAAATAGCAGAGCAGAGTGTGGGCTCACAAATCCAGCTTCCCTGCAGATGATCTATGAGTATGACAGTGGCTCTGATTCAGAAGATGAAAGAAGGCTGCCTGACGTGGTTATGGATGACTTAGCAAACCGTAGATTCCTAGTCAAAAAGAGCCCTGTAAGCTCTACTGCACCTGGACATCATTTCGTGTTGCGCAATGACTCTCCTAAATCTTGCTCACAAGAAAGTTATCCAGCTGGTCCACTAGCTGCAATGCTTGAACCACTGAGGTCAGAGATACTAATCCAAAATCCAGTAACTATTGTATTACCTGAATTGCAGCCCAAAAATAACTCCATAAAGTTAGCCTTCTAATCAGCATTTTAACACAGCTGATAAATTGTTATGCCTTTTCTGTCAAACTTCATATTTTTGTCAAAGACGATAGGATACTGATATAACCTTTTAACTTTTTTTTTTAATATTTATTATTATTTCTGGTGCTGCAGTGATGGATTTGAGAACTAATTTGCTTCATTCACAAGGTTGAACTCTTGAGCCAAAAAGCATGTTTTTTTGCATTCTTTATGTCAAGTTGCTCCTAAAATATCTTAACTGATTGGGTATTTTGAACAGTAACCAGAGGAGGCAGAGGCAGTTGGATACTAAAAAGGAAAACAAACCAAGAGTTAACATTCCTTCAGAGTTATCTGGGTATTTTGATGAGGACGAGGAAGAAGAAATAGGCATCCCAAACATTGAAAAAGATGATCTCTATTTTCGCAAGCTAAGCTCTTCAGCGGCAAATACAGTGGTTACTTTTGACAAATTTATCCCTAAGTTTTGGACACCAGAAGAAGAATTGCTATGGAAAAAAATCAGGAAATCTTCTTTCAAACCCTGGTATAAAGAGATTCAAGGGTTCAGGTGCGTTTTCATGCATGCCCCTGTTTCTCTCCTGTGTGCGAAACTTACAAACAAAATGTAGTTGTATGACATTATTATTTTTCATTTTTATTGTCAGGGTAGCAGCAGGATGTGTTTTCTCTCTTTTTTTCTTTTTTTTTTTTTGAGAAAATAATTGAAATGTTATTTCCATTACACTGTTGCACTGTTGCCACTGTGCATTTTACTCAACGAGTACACTTCTTGGTTTTTTTTTCTTTCCCTCTGCTCGTACTTTGTGCTGCCACACAGTAGAAAGAAATCGGATTCTGAGGATGAGGAATTTCCTTACAAACAAAGCTCTGCCATTGTTGCTAATCAACCAAGACTGAGTTTTGACTGGAACAGCAGTTGCAGAAGGGATCAGAACTATAAGCCAACTTCTGAATATGTGGGAAGCTCATTGTCACAGATTGCAGAAGGAAAAATCTTGGAGGCTTCTGATCAGCCCAGGTTGATATCGCTGCATGAGCTGTACTCTTGCTGCATCAAAAAGAGATGGCTGGATATGCAACAGCTAAATGAAATTAAACCACGTCCTGTGATGTCGCACTTTTTTGGTTATTACTCTTTTGTTTTGTTGTTTTTTCAAATGTAGCCGTAAGTTGCTGGTCTTCTGAAACATAAATGCAAAAGTGTAACATGCTGCATAGGTTTACTGGCTTTGGTGTGTGAGCATGTAAGGGTGCTGTTTCTGAGCAGGTCAGTATGCTGTGATACCTTTATGTTGGTTGACATGTGCTGTGGTATGGTTAGTGGTGGTGAATGCTAAGTGGTGAAGTTGTGCTGCTCGGGATACTGCAAGTCTAAACCAAATGTGTATCGCAGTACATTGTGATATGCTTGTCTCTTGCTAGTTAATGATATTTTTGCTTCCCTCCTTTTGTTTTATATGCTTCAGTCAGTTTTCATTGCTTCAGGCCCTGCAAAAATACTCTGTCTACTTGTCTTCTGAAACAAAGACCAGAATTGATCCTACTTCTGGCCCTAGGCTTATACAGTGTAGAAGGAATATTTCCTTTGTACCAGGATGCAAGCAAGGAGATGCGGAAAATGGATATCTGTATCCAGATTTAGAAAATGATGACTTGTTTGTTCGGAAAACTGGGGCTTTCCATGTGAACCAAGTTGTTCTCCAAGACCCTCGGTATTTAAAAAAATTCTCTGAACAGGAGCCTCCCCTTGAGGGTGAGATAATTCTGCAACCCAGAGAGGGCCAACCTGTGATTCCAGATTTGGAAAAGGATGACATGATTTTCCGTAGAATCCTCTCTCAGAAAAAAGAGGTGCCTTTGTCAGGTGCTCCAGACAAGTATCACCCAGCACTCTTCCCTGATCCATGGAGTCTTCCGGAGGAGATCCGGTCCAAATTTCTATGTTTACTTGAAAAAAACGCAACACCAGAGGAAAGAAAGAGCAATGGCAGAGTGCTGTCGCCATCATCCCGCCATAAAAAGGATGATATGCTGACCCGCAAGATTGAATCTTGGAAGGTGGGAAGCAACGTCCAGCCACTGAATTTCATCCCGGGTCCATGCAGCGAAGATGACTGGAAGAAGTGGGAAGCAATCAGGGAGGCCAGCAAAGTTAGACACAAGAAACGGCAGATGGTGGAGAGGTCAGGTTGCGTCCTGCACGGATTGCGCTTGAGTGCAGTTGAACCCTTTCTGTTCAGAAAAGCATCGTCTTGTGCTGAACCATTCGTAGAGTGCCAATCTGCTATTTGTTCGTGGCATCCTGGACAAGCTTTTTGTTTGCTTTGAATAGATGCTCATGACTGCAATACCATATTTTCAACAAAAAAATTTACAATGCTTTCTAGTTTTAGGCTGCTATTTTAGAGAAAATACATTATAATTCCTTCAGGGTCAAAGTTCTGCATAAGTTTCTTTCCATTGTTGAACAGGAATAGTGATTATTCAAAAGACTGTGGAGGCTAGAAACATTGTCTTTATTTCCCCAGTATAATGGGTAAAAATATTTCTGAAATACAACAAATAATTCTAGAAATAGGCATTCTGATATTCTTGCTTGCACCTGAGTTTGAAAATGCTTGTAAACTGTCCTGCCACAGTTTTGAGGTGATTAGATGAGGTGAAAAAATATATTGGTGTTGTTTTGCCCACCTGAAGTCAAGGTGCATGCAAGGTGTGTGTCTGTGTAATATTAAATTCCCCTGTGATGTATTTTATTCTGACAATATATCTACCCTGCTTTCATACAGTCCTGATTAATACTTTCCCCTTATCCTTTCCTGGTATACTCAAAATTTCTCTTCTCTGACTTGAATAATGGTTTTAACTACTTCCTGGCTCTCCTTTGGATTTTATACTTACTGTTAGAGAGTGGGATTTTGGACGTTTCCTTAGCTCTGAAAATACGGCATTGCAAGTTGCAGTTCTCCCAGCTGTGCATCATTACTTTGTGACTAAGACCGCTCCGTGTTCCAGTTGATACTTTGATGTTGCTGCATTTAATTTCTAAGCTTGATACTGTTAACAGAGTGCAAAGCTTCACTGACAAATATTTCTGAAGTGCTTGAAAATATTTCACGTTTTGAGAGTTCGTTCAATAGAATTAAATACTCATATGTGAATACTAAAAATCCTCTTGAATCCCACTGGATGAATTTGATTCTCCACTTTATATGCTAAACTTCTGTATATGGCCTTTTTTCCTATCCATTCCAAGTATTACTTTCATTTAGTGTCAGAGATGGTTGAAGTAACAAGGAAACAGCCTCTGTAAGCTAGCCTTTTGTTGGGACTCAAGTTGGCATTAATTTTAATTTCTTGAAATGAGCATCTTTTGAGCATCATGCTGTTCAGCAGCTCTGGAGAAAGTGATGCAGAATTAATACAGGGCTCTATTCATGCAATATTGCTGAGTCAGAGGAGTTGGAAACTTGCAGGCAGCCTTGTTCCGTCAGTTTTCTGCCCAACTTACACATCATGCAAGTCCTGATGTCTTTTTTGTGTAGTGTCAGATCTCCCATGTGCTATTCCATGCTGGCTGGTCCTCAAGCTTTCACTTTCCCCTTCACTTAGTGAGAGTGCTGGTGTACTGGTGGTATTACTGTTGTTATGAATATCAAGACACTGAATCTTTCTTTTTTCATTTCTGATTTCTCAGACTCTTTCAAAAGCTTTCTGATGAGCAAGGGTAAGTTTTATAAAAGCTTGAGAGATCATAATGCTATTTTTGCCTTTTTAAATTTTCATGCATGCACAGTAACTGAAAACTCATGCTGAAAAACTTGTGCATGCTGCTTTGTTGTTCTGTGCTTGGGCAATTTACATAAATAGTGTAAGAGACTAAAAGCTATGCATCTGGCAAAAGTTCTCTCTGACATCTAGGGTATCTGAGTTATGGTTATCAGGCCCTTTGAAAATCAGCTTTGATATTTTATTCCTTTTTTTTGGTGTTCTGTATTTAAATTAGGCTTTAAAACATTCAGAAATGTAAAGGAAGGTTAGTAAATATTTCATTGCAAAGGCTGTGCAGATAGAATCTGAAAACAATGACATGGTGTTTATCATGGGAGTGATGAGTGTTATGTGGTTATTTTATATACTTCAGGTTATTGAATTCTCAGTGGTAAACTTACTGGTTAGTGCCATATGAATTTAGGCCTTGTTTTTAGTGTACTTGACTCAAAGAGAAATATTATTCCACTTGCTGTGTGATGGCATATTAAGCATTTGGTTTGTGCATGGTGTTTTAATTTTTTTTTAATGTACACTTATGTATTTAGTTATTTATTTTCACCCTGGGTCAAAACCTAGTAAATGACTAAACACTTCCAGAAGAAGCAAGAAATGTTTCAGAAGTTAGATGTTAGGGAAGGGAGACTCAGTAGGCTCAAGTCACTTGTTAGATTTTGAAGTTAAGACTAGAATTGAAACTTAACATCCTGTTCCTTGGTATGAATATATGAATATACCTGTACTTAGATTTTCCTATTTTGTTGCAGGAAGATACAGAAACTCGAGAGAAGGAAAAGGAAAACCTAGTCATATAAGTCATCTTGAATGAGTCCAGAACAATTTTGATACTTTTGTACGGTTTGGTTACCCAAAACCATTTCTATATGTGATATAACTTAACCACAAAAAAAAAAAAAAAATCTGTAGTTGTGACCAGAAGATTTTTACTAAATTTGGCACCCTTCCCATTCAGACAATAAACAAGCAAACAGGTCTAATGAGTTAGTGCCTTAGCCTTTATTTCTGGAGGCCAAAGTCCAAAGTCTTATGTTACCAATGAAAGTGAGCTGGGCCTCTTGGGAGGAAGTGAGAGAGTCTGGTTTGTTAGTTCAGAGCTCTCTTGGTATGTAAGAGATTAGAGCAAGTACCTGTGCTGAATCAGTTTTGGTTTGAACTTGATTTTTCTGTTGTATCAGAGAAGTGCAACATTTTCAAATCCTGTTAGATCTTGGTTACACTCCTCCATCATTCAGATTTTGTTTGCATAAATGCAAACAGAAGTATATTTTTTTAAAATTAAAAATACTAATTTACATAATTAAAAGTCCTGTTATGTTTATAACTTCAGTGTGAAAGAAAAAAGGAGAAGATAGCATTGGAGAGAGGGGGAAAAAGCATGAACGATGAGCGTTGAGGACTTTAGACTAAAGGGAACTAGTGAGTAGGAGTTTGGGGGGGAAACTTGTAGGTGTGTTGAAGAAACCAGTGAGAAGATCACCGATCACAGAATCACAGAATGTTAGAGATT